TATTTATTTAATTTCATTAAAATCGCTCTGATCTTGTTTGTATGTAATGAAAGGTACACACAGTTTGAACACCTAAACAAGTCCTAAAGCAGTCTTGGTCAATAGTGAGAAATTTAAATCTTACATTATTTCAGTATGTAGCTTTTTATTTCTTGCTAACTCCTCCCACACTTCTGAAACTAGTAGGACCAAACTTGGCAGGTGGCCCATGTGTGTCCTTATCTATATGGAATAGTTTCCCTATCAAGGGGGACTAAATCACCCCTGGAAAAATCACTTGCATGACAGGAGCCCAAAAGTAGGTTTTTAGGGTCAATGAACTAGATTCTGGCATTATATTTTGTGTTCCTGACTTTACTTGAATCCCAGGGGGTGCCATGTTTGAAACTGTGTTCATACCCCCATTCACAAGCTAGTGGGAACAAACTTGCCATGCGGGCTCAGGTACCATGAGCAGGTGGGTAATATACCTTCCCTTGGGGTAGCTATAGAAGTAGTAAGTGATAATGGAGGAGTTTGAGTAGTATACTAGGGCCTTTGAACCCAGCAGGTTGAGCATCAGTATTTTATGCTAGTCGGCATAACTTACAAGTTTAAGCAGAAAGGATAGGTGTTTGTAGATTGGTACAAAGGAATTTGTAAGTATTTCTGGAGAATAAGTTGTTTATGTGCAAAGTCTTAACATAAAATTTATCTGTTTTCTGTCATATCATCATTGGAAGATATCACAAATATAGGGTAGACAAAAAAATTACTTTCATATTTTAAATATAATAACTAAGGAAATACAACCGTGTAGTTTTCAACATCTTGTAGTCAAACTGAAACAGTTTTTATTGACATGTCATTAGACTCTTATATATGCACCGTCAGTGGCTCTCAGAACATCCAATCCGATATTCGATTCAAGTCCACATTTGCTGCAACATATCGCGGGCTAGATTTTAAGGAAATTTCCAGATTGGCTTTCAGACAACCTGACCTGTATCATAGGTTGTTTGAAAAAAAAAAAACATAGACCCTAAACAAAAATCCAATTACAACAATATTGATGTACAAAGACCATAAAAAAGAGACATAATTACAAGAATTTTGATGTTTTTATATCTTACGTATTTCCAAAATGTACAATTAATGTTTAGTTGGCAGTTTTACATCATTATTCAACTAATTTTTGATGCTTTTATTTCCTGGGAAGTATCATTACATTGGAAAAAAATAAATCCAAACCATGCTAATGTTACATAGTATCTTAATGAAACAAACAGTCAAAGCCCTGTAAAACTTTTAAACAGAACAGCAATATTGGCCAATCACGTTCAATGTTTTCTTTCTAACCAGCTTGGCCTGCCCGCCAAGTACAGTAAAGTACAGTCTGTAGTAAGACTAGACATGCATTGTAACTCTCACGTGTACTTCTATACCGTAATATATGCACAATGTTTTTAGTCGTCTTGGACAACCATTAAAATCGAGCCTTGAATATACCCACAGTTACAGTAGTAATAGCATCTGTTATCCTGGTCTTTAGCTCTGTTGTGTTTGTTATAGGTGTGCTATACACGATATCCTTAACATAACCCTATAAGTCTTTCCTATACTGGTGGCTGCAATTGCACTGTATCTCAGTCACTGACTTGGTCTCTACAAGCCAAATGTCGCATTGAGCCTTTTCTTGCACGATTACCATTTTACAAGGTAACACTACTTACTGGAGTGAAAAAAACATTTCAATAAAAACTGTTTCAGTTGGGCTACAAGATTTTGAAAATTGCATGGTTGTATTTCCTTAATTAAATAATTACTAAATTTTAAAATAGAAAAGATAATTTTGGACCACCCTGTATATGAAATGCATTAATAAACAAAAGAAATATGCCCAGTGTTACAAAACAAATGCAAGTTAGTTTAGTGCAAGCTAGGGTTAATTAATACTAGTATGTTTTAGAAGCAATAGATTCATTGTTAGCTTCTTGATATAACTTGAATATATTGTTTACAGTATAGAAATGAATAAAAACCCTGTAACCTGAGCACTTTTGAAAGGTGGACCTTTCTTCTTCAGGGGCAAATTGGTTACTGCATATACATGTAAATAGACTTTAATTATTCAACAAATCTTGAAAGATAATTTTCAAAATGTAAGCAGCAAGAACTATACATTATGAAACATTTGTGTTTATAAGACCAGTGGTTAAGGCTTGTTTAATGAAATTTTCTCTTTAGGGAACAGAAACTAACCAACCTTATTCAACAGAAAAAATGGACAAAAGCTTTAAGCCTTGCCATAACACTTGAACAGCCTTTTAGAGCCCTCAACATAGTAAAAGGTATTTTAATTTTTGTTTTAATTAAGTCTGGCTATCAGTCTGAAAATTAAATATTGATAAATATTGGTGTTATTGTTGTGTTTTCTTTCTTGCAGTAAAACTTGTATTTGGTAAAGATTTTATAACAAATGTATCTTGCACAACAACTGAAACTCTCTGTACACGTTTCATTATTTATGTATTAATTTCAAACTTTTATAGCATAAACTTCATGCAGAAGTAACCAAAAGTAATACAGTAAGTACAGTAACAGTTAATTCGTTTAATATCAAAACATAAATTATTATTTCTTCTGTCACCATGACCACTAGAAGACAAACCTTTATACTGGAAGTGTGGATAGATTATATAATTGTTCACTCAAGTAGACTTGAGAACTTAACCCTCTGGATTCAAGTGGGTCAAAGTGCTCATGACAAGGACCTTCTCTGGAGTTACACTCAAAACTTAATTAACTTGATGAAGAGGAACTCACTTTTAGGTAGTAAAGTTTGGAGATGGTTTGAATGGTTAATGAGGAAAACTATTACATGTAATAAAGGTACTATGTTTTGTCATCATCAGGTACAAGCAGTTTACATGAACACAGAAATATATATACATGATGGAACAAAGAGGTCACATGAACGAAGTTTTGGTTTGGAGTAGGACTGCTTTGTTCAATTTTAAACAAAGAACCATACATCAAGAAATGCAAAATAAAGGAAGCCATCCTACTCGAAACATCTCAAAAGTGTATTTTAATTCTGCATGTCTTATTTTTTCACTTCATTAACTGGATCTTGCATGATAGCAGGTATGGATCCAATGTACTTCATATTGAATATCTTAAAACAAGTAAACAAACCTAACTCCACATACCATCTTTAGTTGTTCAGGATGTCTTTTTTTTTTTACCATGAGTGACTAGCAGGAAAACTTATGATTTGTAAGTATTGATGTTTGTTAGATGCTCATGTAGAAGAACAGAAACCCTTGCCTCATCTCAACAGGGTTCTTTCTAGATCTTCATAAAACCAATATTTGTACATGCAATCAACATGTTTTCAGCTACATTCTCCAAGTGCTTGTTGAATGTTATTTTGCCACATTAAAAGCAAAAAAAACGAGAACTGTCCCCATCTCGGAAGTCATCAGCCAGAGGTATTAGAGTGAGGTAATTTAAACTACAAGACATTTATAAAAAAAACCTTGGATTAAACAAGTTACCAGGTAAGGTTTGTCCTTTAAAACATTTGGTAAATGGTAAGGAACGTATTATTTTGTAGTTTTAGGTAATGGTAGGCTTAAGAATATTACAAAATTTTATCTTAAATATTCTTAACATTATATCAAAAAATGATATAATTACTGTTTCGTTGTATTTTTTTTTTATTGTGAGATAAATTTAATATTTCCTTGTTTTATCTAAACAGAAATTCTTACCGAAACACGAGGGAGAGAAGATCTGGAAAATGTAATCAGTCAAATGAGAGAAGATCAGTTAGGTAATATTTTTAAAGGTGTACAACAGAGAAATTTATTTAGTTTAAGTTAGGCTTACCATTACAGAAGAAAAAAAAAAGCTTTTTCTTAAATATTAACCATTGTTGTTTATAGATGTTCATTTAAAGAAATGTGCGAAGTGAAGTTTTATGGACAACATTTCATGTTCCTTCTACAGGTCAGTGTAGAATTGGTATATTTGTCTGAGAACTAAAGTTTCTAGTAAGTGTTTGAGTCTTATTGATCAAGAAACCTTTTATGTGGTTGGCTGTTGATTCCTATTGGTTGAGAATCCTACTCATTTTATCAATAGGCTGCTCTATCTCCCCCCACACTCGGCAACAAATTCATGAATAAATTTATTAATGTGTTCCGTGAATAAATGATAAGCCTACAAAACTTTGGAAACTATATGTAGGTGGTATATTCGTTATCTGGTCCCATAGTTGACAAAAATGTTTACTTCATATTAATGCCATATATCCCAACATTAAAGTTACCTTATGACTTGAAGAAAATAGATCTCTTCCCTGGACAAAATGATTTACCAACACTAACAAATACCAATAAGTACTTAAAATACAGGTCTAACTATCCTCAATCCAATCTAATGAGACTTTATATTGTCTCTTTACAACCGAGCAATTAAAGTATGCAATGAAACTTTCCAAGTATCAGAAATTAAGATGTACTGAAACCACCTTCTAATCCAATGAATACCAGAAAAAAATTATCAAATAAGCAAAGAATATACAAGAAATTTCAAGTAAAAGTTTAAGTCCAGCAAAACCTTTAGTAATATCTTAACACACATATCAAACATTCTCAAGATAAACTACAGAAATAAGTTATAAAACACCTTATAGCTGTGGAGACAGGCATTTAGGGCAGTGATTAAAATGTCAATAAGATGCTGTCAGATTAATGAAAACCAACATCTCCATCATTGCAGAGCATGTTTTTGACAAAGGGCATAAGACAGGCTGGGATAAATGCAGAGTTATGTTGACAGAGAGAAAAATGGAAGATATACAACATTAGAAACTAGCAGTGAACAGAGACCAAGGAACAGAAATTGACAATATCTGGATTACATTGATCAAAAACCTATCAATCTCGCATCATAATCCTCAACCAATCAGATACAAACACTGGAAATTTCTTTTTTTGTTCTTGGACTGCAGACACAAACTTCACACATTACCACAGCACACTGATCTGAAGAATGAACATAAAAGTGATCCAACTTGTCTGGTAATGTAACTAAATGATTAACCAATTTTGAGGCATGGCTCTGTACACTGCCAATTTCTTTCAATTGTCAGAAAGAATCTTGTATATTTTTGCAAAGGTGATAGTTGAATAGTTATTTACATATATTATCACGGGGTCATTACCTATGATTTGTTATCCACAAAGATAAAGAATTGACAATCTAATTTACTCCATAGCAGTGGATACTGTTTGTCTAGTAAAAAATTATACAGGCTAGTGTTAAAAAGTGATAAATGTTTAACATACTTATAAGGAAGAAACTTTGAATGAAAAGTAAACACTTATTTATTCATATTATTATCTGTAGGAGTATTGCTTCGGTTCTCAGTAACGTGGAACACTAACAGTAAACATTGTGGAGCAGCTCAAACTGTCATTTCAGTCATTCTCAAATCTTATTCTGCTGAAGAGTTATTAGAGTTTCCCGAGATGAAAGAAAATGTACAGTCCCTATTACCATACACGGGTAAAAATACAGTTAATAGTTTTAAAACTGAAAAGTACATACAAGATATTCCAACCGATATTTAGAATCATCTAACGTCACTATTTTAAAACAAAATTATTTATTAGGATAATGTTACAATTGAAATGTTATAAAAACGATTTAATTTACAAAATATTTTGAATTCTAGAACTGCACCCATGCCTAAATATTTTGAAATTATGATAATCGTTTAACTTGGTGAAAGAGAGCATTTTAAAAACTTAGTTTATATTATTTATTGAAACCTATATATATATATGTATGTATGTATATGCACACAAGTAAAAAAAAAAACTTTTCAAAAAAGAAAGTAAATGTAAGGATGGCTAATATCAATCCTTTGCAAACAATAGGGATGGCATTTGCAAGTGCCATCCCTACTATCTTGTTTGCATTGTTCTTGAAGGATTGATATTAGCCATCCCTACATTTACTTCCTTTTTTGAAAAATTTTTGCTTTACTTGTTTGCTTGTTGTTTTTTAATGCAGTATTTCAATAGACAATAACCAAATGATAAATACAATGAGGTTCCAACTATAATATTTATTGTTTATAATTAAACTTTTTTAAAGGAACACCACATTTCTGCATGAAAGCTAACTTCAAGGGGTAATGATAATATTGTTTACACTAGAAGTATGATTTTTTTTTAATTACTACTTATTAATAATACTTATAAAAGTGGGATTCCATTTGAAATTGGCTGACACTATAAGCAGAAGAACTTTTTGCTGTGATATTTACAGACATTCCTAGAACTTGTGACTTGGTAATTACATAGATATTGTTGTAAAAGGAAACACTGTTATAGTATTGTAAAGTACTGATGATCCATAGAGGAGATATTTAAAATACCATATCGATGAACAATCCGAGCCATCCCTACATAGGTAGTGCTACTGCGTGCCTTATATACATAGTTAAGCTTACCATTACAGCAGTTCAAGTCTGATACTTTATTTAGGACAGGCATGGCCTAGTGTATCTCAGGATCCAAGATTCACATTCCCTAACACTCCACACTTTACAGCCATTGGTGCCTTATAAGAGTTATGGTTAAAATATCACTATTTGATTAGTTTTTATGAAAGAGTTAGCACATATAAAGTGTAATAGACTTAAAATAAGACCCAAAACTCGAGTGCTTTCGAAATAGTTTGATTAGAATAGCCCAAGAGTTGGCAGTGAATATTATTGACCAGCTGCCTTCCCTCTTGACTGTCAGTTCAAAATTAGGGAAAGCTAATACAGACAACCCATTAGCAAATATCCAAAAACAAATAAACAACATAATTTCAATTAAAAATTGCTTTTCACTGCTATATTTTCTTTGTCAATAGATCATTATTATTCTAATAAAGGGCATGTAATTATAATTTATATTAAGTATCTTTTGGCTTGAAATATTTCTTTGCAATTATTAGCCTAATTACTGACCTGTCAACATAAGCTGTAAGCCTAGTTTAAAAAAATTTTGTAACTTCAAAAATATAAATAATAATGAGCATTTATTTTTTGTTTTTAATATAGTGAAAAACAAATTAGTTTTAAATTATTTCCTAATGTAGAATATACTGTACAAAAATGTCCTTGTTTTCAATATTTTATTTTTCCTTTTCAACATTAAAAAAAAAACATTTCATTTTTTAAGAACGCCATTTTCAAAGGATGAATCGACTGTTTCAACAAGCAACTTTTCTAGATTATATGTGGCAATGCATGAAGCTAGGGGAGGAGAAGAGGCAAGTTTTTATTATTAAATACTAAATTAATAAGCAAAATAAGATGCACCTTTTTAACTTTCAAGCTAAAAGACCAAATGTACTGGTTACTGTGTTTTAGTTTTTTAAACTCTCCACACCTAAAGCCACGGGAGGTGCCACAATACAAATTTTATTTAATGAGAATTTTAATGTCAGACTTCATTATTACACTGTTCTCAAATGAGAAGTATTAAAAACTATTGTATCTCAACACTGATGTGGTGTGTATTGAGTGGCATAAAAAGAATTGCTCTTTACTCATTTGGTTATTTGCATATTTTATAAATTATCAAATTTTCAAAATAGTTTTTTATATAACGCTATCAAAGTTAATATATCCAGAACTTTTTTTTTGTTATATTAGTAGCCTATCAACAGTGGCAACAAGAAACGGCTCAGAAGATAACACAAATCTTCCAGAAGAAGGATTTGTTATAGACCATCTCAAATCTTCTGTTGTACCAGAGTTAAATGAGGATGAAGATGATTCAGAAGAAACAGAGGATGAAAAACAAATTGAAAACATCAAACCCCTTTCATTTTCCAAGCAAGGAAGTCAAAAGGAACCCATTAAAAAATTTAGCAAAGCAAAACCTATTAACGGAAATAACTTTTCCCAAAAACATTATTCAGGCAAAAAAGCAAACAACTTGAAAAGAAAAGCTTCCGTAAAATCATGTCAGCTTAAGGCCAAGTCGCAAGTTAAGAAAAGGGTAAGTGAACTAGAAAGAGATTCTTGTTCTGTATTATTATTATTATTATTATATGTGAACTGAATAAGATTTGTAGAATGTCTATTGTTATGTAAGGAGACGACTTCCTAGTATAGGCAATCATGTCGACTGCAAGAAAATGTGATTTGTCACTTCGTACTTTATTTTAATAATAACTTGCAAAATTTTAGCATCCTAAGTCCAATAGGAAGAAAGATGTTTTGTTAAAGAAGCAAAGGGCAGCCACAGTATGTTTATTTGATGTATGGATAACTTCAAGCTAATATTCAACAAATCTAAATTTTCACACGGTGAACAACTGTTAGTGCATTTTCAAACAACACATAAATGTTCTCACCTGTATTCATAACTTACCCAGGAAACAAGAGAATATTAATTTTATATATGTTACGTGAATTTAGAATCAAATTTATGACTCATCAAGCTACATACTAGGGTGATGGGGCATCATAAATGTAAATCATACAAATTTAAAAGTCTCCAGCTTTGTGCAGTGCTTCCCTTATACATACAGATGATCAAATTTTTTAGTTCAGTTTGTGTAAAGGAAGGAATTACAGTACAGAACTGATTTATAATTATAGTTTCCTATTACTAGAAAAGGTAAATTTGAAATGTTATGTTTTTCAAGTCCTGATACAAAGTCATAGTATAGGACAATTATTTAAAAATAAAAAATAAATTATAGAGCCAATGGATTTTTTTAATCTGAATATGTTGCATATTAGTGACTGCATCACTGTAAACTAGTTAAATTTGATATTTGCAAAACAAATATTTCAAATGGTGGATAATAAGGAATTCAAATATTTTGTGTTCCTTCCATAACTTTCCTAAGGATGGGGGTAGGTACTGAAATTTTGGAAGTTCTTATTAATATAAAATAGAAGTGTGCAAAAAAACCAGCATAATCTGAGAGGGCCCACTGGTTGAGTCGATGTCCAATGACTCCATTACAACTTACAAAATTAAATTATTTAAATAGCATTAATATTACCTTATACTGCAGAAAAACACAAACATCAAAGTTACTTCCTCAGCACACAATTGATATGTATCTGACGAAAGATATTCATGATGTTTAACATGTTCTTTAATCTTAAACAGAATATTCATAACTTATTTTCTTTTTTCAGGTCAACAAAAAATCCAGTTATTCCAAGTTTAAGACATAGAAACTATGATTAATATTTTTTTTCTGTACAACAAAATTAAAAAAGATTGTAATAGTCACTGTATATTTTCTTTTACATTATTTTTAAATAAAAGAGAAAACTTTGATGTGGGAGATATGTACATGTTAATAGCACTTGCTGAGAATCAGGTAATGCCGTTACACCTTTCTAAACTGGACAGGGTGTATCACTGGTATCTCTAGATTTTTTTTTCTTCCTACAGTAAGATACTTAACCAAATTGCATGAAACTTAAAATGAACTTATAAAATAGTATCCACAAGTTTTATTCTCTTAAAAGGCTTGTTTTGACGAGATAAGCCATACAAAAGAAACTGGCTTTGGTACATATAACTAGTCAATTGACATTAAAAGTACAAAACCAAATTGAATGAAACTTAAGTATCATTTAGTTTCTGCATGAAAACAAAAATTGATTAGTATATGTATCATTTTTGTAGGTTGTCAAACTGTTTTGAAAAAAAACAACTTATTATTTATTTTTGACACTATTTTGCCAATTGAAGCAGTCAAATTCTTTCTGTAAATGAATAAAGCATGTAAACATGGCAAGATTACAAAGATTTGTCAATGACCTTGCCTTTCAAAATGTCAACAATTTATGGTAATCAGGGTGTCAGACTATTTCAATATTTTTATCTAGATCAATTTATACAAAACTTACCAATATATTCAAATAAAAAAGAATTTCTTTCATCTGAATAATTTGCCGTCGCAGATCTAGCATACCCTACTTACTTACACCATCGAATTTTACGGCTATGCTTGTGATAAAATATTGCTTGCAATGAAACCATTTTTTTTTTTTTTCTTTTAACATTGTTTGCCATTAGTTTAAGTATTCATAATCATGCCTGGCTTACCCACTGGCACTTTACTAGCTAGCCACCAATAATTTGGAACATTGAAAGAGACTGAGTTCTAAAAGGGAAATTTAAAATTATATTAATAAAATATACTCAATTTTTGCGAATCAAAAATAGGTTTTAATATTATTGGCTTTTCTAATTAGCTTTATTATCCCTCATTTAAAACTGCTCCACACCTCCTGAAAAAAGACTGAGGTTGAATTAACATTTAAAGAAATAATTTTGGTTTTGTTGTACAGTACAAATTAATTAAAAAAACAGCAAGTAAATTTTTTTTTCGTAGTTCAATGTTTGTAATATCACCTCACAACAATTTTGTTCATTTCTATCCCTTTTTTTAATGTACAGCTGTATCACAATTCAAACAAGAGTTCACAAATTTATATATGTAACCTGAAAACTGTTCCAGTGTTAATACATCAAGTGTTGATAGAAGCTTGAGGCTTTTGTGATTAGTTCAACCAACCACGTACGAGCAAATCTTGCACCATAAGCTTAATACATACACTGTTATTAAAATACTTTTTTTCATAAAATGAAGTAAAAGATACCCGAGATACCACAAATGTTTTAGAGGACACAAAGGAAGTAAATACAACTGGTCCGTTACTGAGTAATGAACATAAACAGAAATGCTGGCAGTTAAAGTGATTTGGCTTAGAACTAGACAATGTGGTATTGTTACATACCTCTATGACATCAGAAGCAAGGATACAATTTTTATAATTCTCTGTCTTAACAATTTAGATTAAGTCAAGTAATAAGTACTAGTATGGTATTTTGGGTTAAAAAAGTAATGAGCAAATACTAGACGTCTAACCCTTCAGTTCAGTTGGTAGAGCACCCACTTAGTGTATGTATAGTACAATGTAGTAGCTTCAGTTCTTAAAAAAGGACCTTATTGGTAGTTGCTAGCAAATTAATCCTTTTGGCACAAGAAGTCTCAGGTTCAATAAGCTGAGAAAATTACCACAAGAAAAACTGGCACCCAATATGGAACCTTGTTTGCAGTAGAAGAAGAATTTAAATTATTTTTAAAAAACGCCTTACTAGTAATTTATAGTGAGTTAACCCTTTGGCTCAGTTGTTAGAGCATTTACTGGTTTGTGAGAGGTCCCAAGTTCAAATCCTGCTCTTGAAAGATGGAAAATAGGAATGCCACAAGAAAAACTGGCACCCAACATGGGGGGTCATCCCAAGACTTCAAAATAAGGACAAGCATTGTTTATGGGGGATAAGAAGGGATGCTAGTTTGAGTTCATAAAACGTGCCTGATGATCAAATACTAAGGGGCTAATCCTTTGTCTCATTTGGTAGAGTAAAGCTCTCACTTGTAATATGAGTGGTCCTAGGCCTAAATCTGATGTGAAGTACTGTGAAAATTAAATTACTACATTGAAATGCATAAGAAAAAAAGTTTATTACTGTACTTACATCTTAAACATAGTATTTTATTATCTCTGGCAATGATTTGCCAGTATCTCTTTTAAGGATACGAATTGTTGTCATAATTTAATGCAAACCGACAGTTTGTGTACATGTTTTTTTCCTTAAATCGGTGATCATGTAACAGGCTGAAAATACTTTAAACTAAATTATTCTACAAATAAATTTCCTCCCCCATAATCATGTGGTGCATTCTCTAACAACAAAAGTAAAAATGTTGTGAACTGTATTGAAACAAATTATCCTCAAGCCGAAATAAGGGATAAAAGTCATATGAATTCTACTGTATTATCTGATGTGGTTAAATACTACTGAAGCATAAAACAGTACCTTAAAAGCAGATTTCTTCAAGCTAGCATTATTGTAAGTTTGTCTGTATACTTCACTGTTCATAACTGATACATTTTGTAGCAGGTTATTAACAGACTGTTCCAAAATATTAGTCTTAGCAGATATTTTGCAATAAATGAAATATTGAAGATATCAGGTGATTGATAATACTGAGGAAAACAATCCAGGCAAGTATTTGAATAGCAGTGAAACCTAATATTTATGTATCAAACAACAAGAAGGGACAACTATTCATGGCTTTTAATACAATGCCAACAAATAAAACTAATCAGCTACATAGAATCATAGCATCACAGTTTCAAATGATCAGTTGTCAGGAAACAAGACTCATAATCATGTTTAAACACATAATCATATTTAAATCGATTTGATTGTGTATGAAAATAAATCATACCTGGTACCTTACAGGCTAATAAATCAAAACTTTACAAACAGACCCTTAGCTACATATCTATGGTATGTTACATCTACTTATACAGTCAACATCTATTAAAAATACTATAGAATATTTTTTTTTTTATACCTCTTTGGCATAGTTAACATCATTTATAAAACAAGGTCTGTGCAGCATGTAGAAAATATAATACGAATCTGTCAGCTGCACAGCAATTTGAGAAAAAAGATGGCAGAGCTTGGGTTCCCTGTCAATTTTGTTGAACATGGAAATGTTAAAACAAATATATTTTCATAGAAACAAGTTATACAATTATACCTTTCGGCAGTCTATAACTAATTGAGTATTTATGTATGTTTTTTTTTTTTTTGATGTGTACGTATATATTATTATGAAATGTAGAAACATAAATGTCAAAATGAGGAAACACCACAAAACTTCCGAAGTTCTTCGTATGTAACCCAAAATGTCAGAGACCAAGGAGCCTGTAAAACAAAATTATAATATAAATAATACCCTTCAGATGGAATTTCTGTCAGCAGTTTCTACTTTCTGAATTATTAATATTCTTGCTGATAAATGTTACAATTTAACACACAATAAAAACTACAAATGCTTAAGTAGTTTTTCAGGTTTATTCTCAGCATACTTCCCTTGCTGCCTTTGTTTGTTCTCAGTGTACTTCCCTTACTGCCTTTGTTTATTCTCAACATACTTCCCTTGCTGCCTTTGAGCAATTTTCAGTGAAAAGCCATAAGAAGTAAACACAAAAAATCTGACAACCACATTGAGTATGAATGGTCATTTGATATATACACCTTTGAAACATGTCAAAATAACAATAAGTGTAACTTATTTTTCAAACACTTCAGCCTAAAGAGAAATTTTTTAAAGTTACGTAATAATGTACCTTAAAATATGGTAATTGTACTTCTGGCCACAATCTCAAGCCTGGCTATTAAAGGAGCGAGTTGATTTGAACACATCTTGATGATAAATATTATGAAATATAATCACAATTCTTTCTGGTGACAAAGAGCAGTTGTTTGCAATACTGTCAGGGTGAATTAGATTTTTGGTGACTATACGACTCCTCACATTTTGAAAAATTTTAAAAAAAATCAACTAGTGATTATACATTTAATATTCATTATCCTAAATACTCCGAGCTGTAGTATTCCTAATCCTTCCCCATTCAAATTGAGTTTTAGTAGTCCTTGTTTTATTTATTTTGCTAGTTTTATTGAATACCAAAACTATATATTCTTGGTAAGATTCTTTTTTGAAGTTTTAAAACTTAATACTGATTTTTACATATTCACCACATCACTACAAAAAAAAAACAATAAAGCCACTAACAAAAATAGCTATCAGCTTATTTGAAAAAGCAAAATTTGTATGATAAATAGTAAACTGAATTGCTCTTAATTATAAACTTAATTCTTAACAAATGGAATTAATGAATCACTGAAAAGCAGAATAGAGAAATATACTTTCCTTGTGTGTGTGTGTGTGTGTGTGTGTGTGTGTGTGTGTGTGTGTGTGTGTGTGTGTGTGTGTGTGTGCACGCGCGTGTTGTTTAGCCTGAAAGAATGATACACATTCAGTAAAAAAAAGAAAAAAAGATGGTATGAAGGAACCACTTAATAGTTGGTTTTATTTTTGAGGTATTAAAATAAACATTGGTATAGTTCTTCTCTGATAAGAGCGTTGGTGTTTAAACGTGCAACAGACATCATCAGACTGTGTACTTTATGTCTTGTACAATATATTCTGTTACTCATGTGTAAACATTTAAAAATCAGCAACAGTTTCTTTCAAACTTCCTTAATGATAAGTTTTATTTTAATCTTATTATTAAGTGAAATGTTAATGAAAGAGTACGTGATTTTTTTTTATCTAACTTACCATTCTGGTCCATATGGGAATAAAACCTTTATAAAGAGCTCTAAAACCTTCATATTTCACTGTCTGTAGCAAGCAATCAACTGATGACTTGTACAAAAGACCTCTGATAGAGAGAAGGGAAGAGATTTTAAGCTAATAAAATATTTTAACCAACAATTTTTCATGTTCTTTTTATTTCTGAATCACTTTTCTGCTCTCAAACACTTGAGTTATCATCAATTAAAAAAAAACAAAGTATAGCCAAACCCAGAAACATCAGATGACAGATATCAGTGGATTAGAATATTACAATTATTCAAATGCACATGTGCCTTGAGCATCATTTTTTTTTCTCTTGGTTTCATAGGGGAGTCAAGATGGCACACACACAGACAGACAGATATATATATATGTCTGTGTGGGGGGGGGGGGAGAATTGGAAATTTTCGATACAAAGTGTGATAGCACTGCCACAAACATTTGCCATCAAAATGCAAAATAAAATTTTGACTAAGATGATGTACTACAAGAAACAGAGATCAGCCATCTTCAGACCCACAGATAAGGTCACAAGTAATAAATAAATAAGGATGATGTAGGGATGGCAATGCTAAAAAGTACAGAAATACAGTACGGATGAATATACAAAACCATACAAACATCCATACATAAGTAGCCAAATTTTTTCCAAGAAAGATTTTTTATCTACAACTAAATGTTGAATTCCTTTCGTTTGCATGAATTCAGGTCCGAGTAAAAGCATTTAAACTGAATATTGCTATAAAGTCTTACAATGGCTAATTCCCATAAGCTTGTAACATTGACTCAGTGGCTACTTGTGTAGGGATTTTTGTATGGCTTTGTGTATTCATTCTTACCTTGCCATCCCAACATCATCTTTATTTTTTCACATTTTTTTTCATTACTTGTTTCCCCTCTTTTTTTAAACAATACCAGTGAATATTTTTTTAATGAATGACAGTCACTATGAAGGTGGCAATTTCACGTGTTGAAGTTAACAAAATGCTCCTGTACTCCCAAAGTTAAAATGAAACATTTTAGTGTACAAGTCATTACAGCGACTTCAAACATTGGTGAACTAGTCCTTCTGATGCCAGAATCACAATAATCAGCAGAACATTTGACTGTTACGCTACTCACCGGTTCTCTACTTTAGTGATGTTTTTTGGCTAAACTGAAGGTCTTAATAGCTCTTGACTTGAAAATCTTAGTTAGGTGTTTAAAAAGTCTCTTAAATTGTTATAAGAATGATTTGAGACTATAATGAGCAATATATAATATGCATCGGGCATTTTTTTCCAGCCCATCCCCACATACTAAGCACTACCATGTTTAGTGATTGTGGAAGGTTACCATCCTCAACTGCAATGGATTGCCAGTAAGTAAGTTAGTAACAACCACAAAGAGCAAGTGATACATTTAATAGTCACACAGTACAAACTAATATACTGTCCTTCAAAAATATTTCTTTTGGATTTAATGATTTACTAAATCATTAAATATCAGTCTAAATACACAGAAAGTTATAGTTAACAATCTGAGTAGCTTATACTTTTTATCCACAAATTAAGCTTAAATTTTGTTTAATAACAAGTTTTTCAAGAATATGTAGAGGAGTTAAATGACAAGATTTATATTTTATGTACTATTTTTTTCAGTACATTTTCCAACTCAAGTACTGGCATAACATGCTTACAATAATGATACTAGAATAACAAGTGTTTGATATTTGTATTCTGACAAACTGACATCTATTTACATCCAATAACCATGGTAATAATAACATGATTGACAAATAAGAAGTTCAAAGGGAACCTTTAGTTCTTCAACTTAATTTGTAAGTACGAGGATTATCATAAGTACATGTAAATTTCATATTTATTTTAAGTTCTGGGACTAAAAATACTTTCCTTTTAAAACTAAGCAAGTTTGTACTAGCTATTAAAAAAAAACCTACTGTCTTTTTAAACCAGATATTTAAGTCCTTATCAGTTGTCTGGAGTTGTATTTTCACAAAATAATGTTAACAAATTCACCAATCAAAATTCTGTGGTTTTGACTTGCAAAATGATGTTATTAATTCATTAACTGATGGTGTTTTGTAAACATGTTCTTTAATACCACACTTACCTGCCATTCTTATCTGTGGGTTGGTTCATCACCCTGGTTTTGATTACATCAGCAGGAGTTCCCAGTGTAGCTGCAATCAAACCGGAACAGCCACTGCACCAACACAAGTAACATTAGTAATTATATTTATCGTTTGGAAATAATTTGAGAATAGCCTCAAGAAATGATTTTGATTATATGTAGAAACAGATTCAACATACAAACCAGTTTCTTTTTTATCATACAGATACTAAATCTGCAAAATGTATGTTAATTTTTCTTTCCTCTTGCTGTTCTTACTGATTTCCACATCTTAAATATGAAAGCTAAAATGGTTAGTTGAACAACAATTAATTAAACTTTTGTCTTCTTCTTCTTTGTCAAATTAAACTCCATGCAAGTTAAAAACAACTGTGTAGATCTCATGTTTGTAATACAGCACCCAACCCTCCCTATGTTCATTTATAACAATAATAAAATAAAAAAAAGATTTTTAGCACTGCTTGGAAGACCATAAGTCATGTATGCTTCTGAAGAAAGTAACAAATATTTGTTGACTGTCACATGGATTTTCACTACATTGTACATTCAAACTCGTTTGTGTATGTGTACCCACACACACAAGTGTTTGAGTTTTCTTATTCCTTGCTTTGAAACCTTTTAGAAAAACAGGAAATACATTTCACAAAATGGACACTAAATACAGACTATAAAATTTCAAATCCATTTATTTAAAACTAAATGTATTAACTTTTTTTTTAAAGTAGCAACACTTCAAACAGTTTTGTAAAACTGCCAACAGTATTAATTCAAGAGTCAATCAGCACAGTGAAGATCACGATAACAGTAAATCATGAAACTACAAACAGTGTACCAATTTTGCAAGTGACACACAAAATAATTCCATACCTGGCTAAAGCATGAGTCAAAGCATTATCATGAAAAGTGGTATACTTCAGAATCAGGTGTTTACTTGAGTCATATGTTGTCAAATCTAATAAGAAGAAAGGAACCTAGTGTCACTTTACATCCATAAATATCTATTATAATCACAATCTTTCTCATCATAGACACAGCAAAGAAATTGAAAATGGATATTAAATCTTCTTTCATAAGTGCATCTTCATATTGTTTATGATAAAGTGGCATAACAAAGATTTGTAAAACTATAAATGATATTCAGACAGATCCTTAAAAACTTAAGAATATAAAAAAATTATATTACTGCTGAAAACTTATATACATGTTCTTCCTACCATATGAAATAAAAGTATATTCCACTAACCAATTAACACTACTCATAAATTAATTACACTGATTTAATGAAAGTTAAACAGTGTCTAGAGAAATGTAAGTTAATCATTTTAGACTGTTTTTTTTTTTTGTTAGGTTAGTCATTTTGGACCGTTTTTTTTTTTTTGTTAAGTTAATCATTTTACACCTTTTTTTTAAGTTCTTCTATCACTGTTCATTTCAATGCTTTCAATTTATTGCTGGAAATACTTTAAAGCCCTTTTATCCTATTTTGTACACATAATGTTGTTTTAAAACTTTTATGAGAATCAGAAGCTATTTTTCCAGAAAGCATCTTGTAAACAACATGATGTTTGAAACAATGTACTTGTAAATACAGATAAAATGAGAAAGAATGTGGCCAGCTACAAGTATACTGTATATCCCTTTGAATTTTATTAACCCTCTTGCCACAGGCAAGATTTACTGAGCATGTCACAAGGCTTTAAGTGAGTTACATTCAAAAATTAATTAAACTACTTTCTGTTTATATTATACCAATTAGTATAGCATAAAATCGTAGCTAATAATCCATAAGTTAATAGTATATCAGTTTTAAACTCTTACTTTTACAAGTCAAAATTTTTAAAAATCCTGAATTTCCCCTAGTGTGAGAAATGACATTTTTTCTCCAGGCATCCCCTCTTCTCTTAATTTATTCACCACCCCTCCAACAAGTGCGAAAATTAACGTAAATTAGTCACTATAATTAGAAAGCCAGAAAAACTGTGATACTTGTAGAACATTGTCTGCTTTTTTGCATGTTATTTTTCTATGTTCTTTGATGCACTATTTAATTAAATAAAAATGATTTAGTGCACAACTAACATTAGTATAAAAATTAGGGTTAAGTGTCAATGACAGTTGACAGCAAAAAAAGTACTTTATAGGTTTTGAATTTCATGAAAAGCTACACGAGGACTATCTGCAATAGCTGTCCCTAATTTAGCAGTGTAAGACTAGAGGGAAGGCAGCTACTCATCACCACCCACTGCCAATTCTTGGGCTACTCTTTTACCAACAAATAATGGGATTAACCATCACATTATAACACCCCCACAGCTGAAAGGGTGAACATGTTTGGTGGGACAGGGATTCAAACCCACAACTTTCAAATTGCAAGTCAAGTGCACTAACCACCTGACCATGCTGGGCCCTAGGTACTTTATTTCTTGTTTTTCATGTCTGTTTTTTTATCTATTATTATAAAAGTAACTAAAATGTATAAATTAAAAACTTTTTAGGTTAGTTACACTTAGATTAGGTAAAATAAACAATAATGTAATAAAATGTTTTCATGAGGAATGCATGGGAGCAGCTCAGAGTAGCTTGTAGGTAATATAATTTGAGAGCATAATGTGATCCCCACATTACCCAAGTGATTTACAACTTATAATGGCATGAACAGTAGTTAGACACAGTTCAAAGGGGCAATAAAACAATAAAACTTAAAGATAAACAAATGTATACTGTTACAAGTTTAAAGCTACTTAGGATAAACAAATGTAGTTTCATGCTACAATTTAAGTCATTATAGAAAGAAAAATGGGTAATTTAGATTTACTTCAATTTTTTTTTGGTGGTTTCAAAATCGGTCAAATTGATCAACCTAGTATTGAGTTAAGGTAGAGAAAATAACAGATGAAATATAGCTTTACTGAAAAAAACAACTTTGAAATGTATTTAGGAGGTTTTAGAGATTATGCAAATGAAATCTGAGACTTGTAAGACGAATAAAAGTATTTTTAATCTTAACATGAAAATTACTTTGCACTTGGACTAGTAAAAAAAAGGCTCAATATATTCACAAATAAATCTTTTTTTTTATTAGTAAAAAATACTTCACTAAAAAATCTGTAATGTTTACTGAAAGCCTGCCAAATTTTGTAAAGATACACATACTATATTAAAAGTTAGTTGTATCAAAACTAATGACTTTAAACAAGTACAAACGGGTCACATGGTCGGTCAATTCCACCGAGCCTGGGTAAAGAATGAAAGATTAAATAGCATTTCTGAACATATGGTACCTAGTCACCCAACTGAAAAGGATAATGGTTCAACAAGTGAGCAGAAGACAACGTCTATCTAAAGCTGAGAAAAGAAGCAAAGCATACAGTAAACCCAAACCACACATGATGGACTGTACAAAGCCGTGAGTAAATACAATATGGTGTTTAGATCATCTAGTCTCTAGTAGAAGTTGGTGAAAATATAGGACCAGCACAGCAATTCCTTATCACTCTCAAGCAGGTTAAAAGAGCATTAATAGGCCAAGACCACTGCAAAGGCCATTTTAATTTCAAGTCAAGCAAAGAAATGTGGACTATCTAGGATAATGGCAGATGCAGCAAAATCTAGTAGGATGTTGCAATATGTCATCCAATAAACTTACAAAAAAAGCTATTTATGTAAAAAGGGCATATGAATAAAAGAGCCTCCTAAGCCTGAAGTGACTAGAGATGTATGATATGTTCCCTTGTTGAGGCACTTGGAAAGGAATTCTATTAACATGGTCAACCTGGAGATGGGATGGAGCCATCAAGAGAACTACTGGCCATAAAAGGGATGGTCTATTAAACTGCCCAGATCACACTCCAAAGAAACATGAGTAGCAGCAGTAGTAAGAGAGAGACGTAGTAAGATAACTTATCTAGTGTGATATGAAGAATCTATGCCCCAGTGTATCACTCGTACTTCACTATATATACTTTAGAAACAAAAATGCTGTAATGAAAGTGGTAGAAGAGAGGCTTAAAATACCAGATTTAAGTATTATCAAATGCATTTGTGGTAAGTTTTAACTTGTATAAAACTGTACAATATTTCCCCCATATTTCAATAATTTTTCTTTTTCTCAAGTCAACAAGAAAAATGATTTGAACTCTTATGAATATACTAAAAACTATTTGACTAATTTTTTCTTTTTAATGCAGCAGAGAAAATTTCTACAGGAGTAAATAATAATCTACCATGAGAAATATAACTGAGTATTATGAATAGCACAAGCACTTTGTCAAACTAGCCAATATAAATGTTTCTAGTTACTTCAGAAGACACTCAAATGATTGTGCTATGTACCAAAATTCCATTCAACACGATTATCTTCTGTACTGTTTTGGAAAAATCATCATTTCTTTCTCTTCGTTCTTTAAGTAATGAAAGCTAGGACTCTGACCGCATAAAAAAAACGTTACTTTTCTACAAATTTAAGTAAAGATTTCATATGAAAATAAGGTATGGTAATCAAGGCATATCAGCAAGAAATACAAGACTTACCCCCCAAGTTGACTAGTGCTGCTCTCTGAACATTTGGAACCCAACCCTTCCAAAGACCTCGAATCCCACCCTCAGCTAAAATCTTGGTAAAAGCATGCCAAGTACTCTGTACTCTGAAATAAAATGAATAGTTATAAAAAACATGCACATAATATTTTACAAGGCTATGGCTAACACGTACAACATATGATGAAAAGGTTTGAATAAGTCTGAGTGGTACAATGGAAACATCGTGAAATATCAATCAAAATATACAACTGAAACAGTAGCATCAGACAGCTTTATTGAAACACAACTATCCAAATAATTGGAAATTCAATTTTTGACATTCATGTTTAGATACATGTAGAACAAAACTTCAGAAACTTGAAGTACAAAGCACTTATAATTCTTAGTTATGGAAATATCTGTGTGACTGATCATTATACCTCCGAAACAACTGTAATAATATATATAATGAACTGGTTACAATGGACACCTAAAGAAACATTCAACAGACACCCAACAAAACAATCAACATTGTTTAAAATACATACTAATTCATCTTACATCAAACAAGAGAAAAGTATGACAGTTCTCTAAACAAATACATACAATAAACATATCTACTCAGATCTCTATAGTAGCGGTATATGTTTATACAACAAATCTATGAAGTATTTCTTTAATTATCCATGATAACTTCTCCAAATAACTGCTACATATAGAAATAGTAGTAGATACTGAAACAGAGCAATAGGGATTATTTGTTTAATGAGTTAAAATGTTTATACACATGTAAAAGGAAAGAAGTTTCAGTTAACACTGTAACACATGCATTTAATGCCTACAAAAGTTGTTACCACTTTAACACGAGTATTTGTTACTTGAAAAGATGTTTTATTATGTATTAATTACCAAGAACAACATGTCGGAAGAATGATACATCATTACTAACAACAGGTACGAGATGTCTGGTACATGTATTACTACAAAAAATTTGTTGTACTACAAACAACACTTGTCAAGGATATGGTACACGTATCACTACAAACAACACTTGTCAAGGATATGGTACACGTATCACTACAAACAACACTTGTCAAGGATATGGTACACGTATCACTACAAACAACA